CCCCAAAACCCCAAAACCCCAAAACCCCAGGTTGGAGAAGAATAGTTGAGATAAAATATTATTTTATGGTAAGAAAATAAAGGTTTAGGAAATAGAAGTTTATGAGGTTAGGAATGCTCTGAGAGGGGTTTTGACGCATTTTAGAGTGATAGAAATTGATTTTACGGTGGGAGAGCGGGAGTGGATCAATAGAGATTTTTAGAGGTAGACGGATTGTTGTTTTAAAGCACAGAAAGGCTGATAATTTATAGGATTATATGGATAAATATGAAAGTGAATTCAAGAAACATTGACAAGAAGTCAGAGAATTCATTGCATCCAGAAACAATACCAAAAATTTGAGGGTATATGAGCTAACAAAAATGCTTCGGTAAAATCTACTTAAATTAATCTCAAAATACCTTCCTTAACCCTATTCTATTCCCTAATTCACTTAATCTCTCTTTAATCTCATCATACTCATCTCCTCTTAGCAAAGGCAATTTCAAGGCAAAACCCTCCATAACCTCAACTCCAACCCCTCCCAAAGTACTCACCTCTAACTCATACAGTCTATCTCCAAATAACCAACTCTCTCACCCCAAAAAGAAGCCCAAATGTTCTAAAAAATTTCAGCTCGTAATCCCCTCATCTAACCCTCCTACAGAAAAAGAAACTTGTCTTAAAAATCAATAGTATTTTCGAAACAAATTCTTCTTCTGCAAAATCAACTTCCACGATGCGATCAACCGGAAGTATCAATAAGAATAAGCCCAATGTGGATGTCTGCAAGTAGAGAAAGTTCCTTTAAGCTAGAGGCCCGAGAAGGGTACCCCTTCTCGGGCAGGAGTTTGCTGGCCAAGTCACTATCCAGGAACACCAAAGGATGTGAGTATATATTGTCTGGTCTGATTTGTGTAGGCCATGTGCTAGTGCTTTAAATGAGCCTGGCTTAGAGGAGTTTGAAAATGGAAATTTGAAATATACGAAGAAGAAACTGAGCAATTCAGGATCTCAGAAAAGATACTATCAATCTTCATCACCTTATGGAGGAAATAATGAGAATTCAAATGTAAGTTTTGAGCTAAAAGATGATTCATGATAAAATATTTAGCATTGCTTGAAAAATTGGGTGTCTCCCATTAAAAGGTTTATGCCCGTAAAGGTAAGTATTTAAAAATCAAATTAACGAAACAACTCCCGAACCAATCTGTTAGGCCGACTACTCAAATTAAACAACAGATCCTTTGTTGAATACTTTAATCAAAGAAAATATAGATCAAATCAAAACTCCAGAAACCGAGAATGCTCTTCAGAAACAAGTCAGGATACCATACCCAGGACAAGTCTGAATCCACCTTCAGCAGCCCCTTACAAGGGTTAGAACAGAACAAAATGATTAAGTGTCTCAAGAATGATTTGAAGAAATTCATCAGTATTCCCTAAACTCATCATCTTAGCCCATTCACGTGAAAGAAAGTGAGGCACAAGTATCCTCCAAAAAGTAAGTTTTTATCTTAAATCTCCTATTTCACAAACCTAATGAGTTCTAGCCGAAGACAGAAAAGCCAGAGGAAATCCAAAGAGCGAATAAGCCTAAGCCTCGTACCATTACTACAACCGAGTCAAAAGAAGAAGGCAGATACAAAGCAGCTCAGCCTAAGAGTAAGCCAACTCGATGACATATAGTAATGCTCAAGCCTGTGTTATCAACGTTGTTTAGAAACGAGCTGAATACCGATTTAAAACTCACAAGAAATCTAGTAGAAATTAAAACTAGAAATGGCCACCAGACCTCTGTTGCTTCTAATTGTGAAGGTGATCTTGCTCGAAGGAATTTGGAGAGAATTGTTCTGCATAAATTTGGGTCTTATACCCCAAATTAGGGCAAGATAACTCCCAAAGGTTAACAAGTTATCTATCTAAAATTGTGTTAGAATTCGAATTTTCCTGACATCTCTAAACATTCTGAGAGAATGTTAGTGGTAACTTGCAGTTTCTTTAATCAATGGGAGGGTATTTTAAGTTAAGACTTTAATAATTGAGGGTAGTTCCCTGGTTATGATAATTTTTAGACACTTTCTTAAAACAACGATTTTATTTATGTGTACATAAGTAAAACCCATATACTATAAGTTGCACATCCTTAAAAAGAACCTGCTAAATAAGGATCTCCGTTAACTGGGAGACCTGAAGATTATCACTCTATATATTTCATCTTATCAAGAGATCGCAACATCTTTTGATTCGGATTGCCTCGAGAAAAGATACCATTGCCAATCTCCAGAATAAGCAGTTTCAGCTATTTTTTAATGAAAAGGGGTTTTGGGGTTTTGGGGTTTTGGGGTTTTGGGGTTTTGGGG